TCGCACGCATCCTTCTCATCAGCCGGTAGGGCGAAAGTGGAACTGCTGACAGACTTTTCGGACTTTGTGACATTACCTGCGTCCTCGTCGTCACTGTTATCAGGCTGTAGCTGTGATTCGCGGTCATGACTCCTGATCATCGTTACCCTCACTTCCTCCTCCATGTAAGTGCTGTTTGAGTTGAGAGAAACGAGATCGTAGGTTTGTAATTCCTTGTCATCGATCGTGCCCGTTGATGGGTTAGCCTTTCCGGCCTGGACATCACCAACCGCCTCATGAGAGGGTTCGCGGTCTCCTGGCTCGCTGATAGTTCTCTCCTGGTCTTGCGTCACGGGCGGTTTTGATTCGGGCTTACTGCCTCCATCACAGGTTGCTGCAGCAGCACTACATTTGGCCATCTCGTCTTCGCGCCTTTGCATTTTAAACACGCCGAGTGGTGTTTGGTTTTTTGGGTTTATAGGTCGCGTTTATTCCAGCATCCACTCGGAGTCGGCTGGATCGCCCTGCAGTAGAGTCACGTGGTTGTAACTAATTTAAAGCCGTGGATCGATATTGCATGGGTGTGTGCGCACTATGCCACGTGATTTCCTTTGTTGCCCTTTAGTACAGATGATGACAAGGATGGTCCTACCCACGAAGTTCTTTTAACTCACCACTTCAGCAGCTTGTAGAATAAACTGCAGGTCAAGTGGAGTCTACGAAATGGAACTTTGAAGAGGTTTTAGCGACGTGCAGGCTTTGTGGTAGCTGGTGTGTTTGTGTGTGTTAAAACATTGCGCTCCCCCTAAACACGTCGCATGGTAGATATGCCCGACCAACACGGGGGTTATGTCAGAGCACGGCAGGCCTTATTCCTGTTGCGCTCTCGTATCAAATTCCGAACACAGGGGAGGGGGGCGTTGGTGGCTGCGTAGGTGGAGGCTCAGGCACCAGCCTTTATGACACTTCCACTACTAATAAAAGCGAACATGTGAGTTCCAGGAAGTAATTGAGAAGAAGACTACTCGGTCGCTGGGACAATACCTTTATTCACCTGACGTTTCGACATCCGTCGTAGATTCATCATCAGAGACATTAGCAGAAAACGGTAGCAGAAACGGGTACTACATGCACAAGACTTTGCAGTATTTATAGGATACAGTCATTACTGCAAACATAAAACGACAGTTAACCGTAATTTCCTTCTTGCGTGTTGATAGTTTGTTGAACGGCATGCGGGCTATCACCTGCCGAACTTTCATCACGCGTGGTGGACTCGGGCTTGATGATTGCTCGGCCATCTCGCCCTCCGGTGTTGGCGTAGGATGACGCGGTGGCCTGTCCGTTCCCCAAGTG